GGCCGCCAGGATGAGCCCGCCAGCGCTCCCCCGGGGCCGGGCCCCGCCCGGCTCCCCAGGCCAGCCGAACCCCTCACCCCACAGGGGAACGGGCCCACTCGGTCCCGCGGTGCTCAGAGCCTCCGCAGCCCCGGCTGGGCTCGACCTAGCCTCGCCCGGCCCCAGCAGGCCCGCAGTCATGGCGAGAGACCCGCACGCTGCAAAAGCTCTTTATTTCAAAGACCAGCCTGTAGCACAAGCCTCCAGCCCCACACCACCCCGCCCGGGCCGAGGGGCAGATGCTTCATCCACAACTCTGCCTCACACCATGAATTTGCACAAACCCGCTCACCCGCACCCCACCTGCTGCCTGGGCTGGGAGCCAGCACCAGCGGCCTGTTCTGGGAGCTCGGCCCAGGCCCCCCCCGAAATCCCAGCAGCAGCAGGAGGGCAAGACTCTCCCTTATGCCTTGTCACTGGCCCGCAAGAAGCCAGCATCCCCCGGCCCCACGGCATGTGGCTGGGCCCCCAGCTCAAGGCACAAGACCTGGCACAGCAGAGCGCCATGCTGGCACTTCGTTCCCTACAGCTTGTCGCTGGGAAGGAGCAGCACAACCCTCCATGTGCAGGACGAGCCTGGATGGGACGCGGAGCAGGGGCCAGGTGTCCCGATTCCCACCGTGACTGCCACATAACGCCCCAGCCCTTGGGGCCTGCCCGCAGCCTTGCACGCTGCTCCGGTCTCCCGTGGGGGGGCGGCCCAGGGCCAAGCGCTCCTGTGCAACAGCCCTGGCCTGGGGCTGTGCAGCGGGTCCAGGAGGAAGTGGCACCATTCATCATGCTGAAGGTCCAGCCAGCTCCAGGGGGGGGGGCAAAGGGGGCAGCACTCAGGCCAGCAGCAGAATCTGGGCATGGCTCAGGGGAGCCAGGGGCACTGTTTGTGCCCTAGAAGAGCCAGACCCCGCTGAGAAGCCAGCCCCCTGGGGCTGGGGGCGGTGCCGGGGCTGCTCACCCCGTTTGACAGTAGCGCCACAGGCTCGGGTGTATTCGCCTGGTCACTTCCTGGGGCTGAGGGTGCCCAGCGGGGACCCCTGCACGTAGGCCAGGATGGCGTTCTGAAGGAAGCTAGCGCGCTGTGCCGCCTCCTCCCTCATCCGGGAGATCTCTGCATCCTTGGTCCGCAGCCTCTCCAGGAGAGCAGCCATCTCCCCCTCCTTGTCTAGCAGGGCCTCGCGGTGGTTGCTGGACAACACTGTGCAGGGAGAAGGACCCATCAGCTCGGGGAGGGGGCTGCCTGCTAGACAGGCTGCTGCTGGAAGGAGTCTGAGCCCTGCAGGCCAGGACCAGGGCCAGAATGGCTGACACTGGGCTGATCTGGGCCTCGGCACCTCTGGGAGCTCCAGTGGGGTCCAGGTCCCTGAGGTTTGCAGGGCAGGAGGGAGCGATTAACCAAGTGAGGACAGGGGAAGCCATCAGCCCTGGGAGAGGGTACACTCATCACACTGCCCCGCGCCCCCATCACCTTTCATCTGCCGCTCCAAGGCTGCAATCTTCTCCCGCAGCCCTTCCTGAGCTGTCTGCTCGGCCTGCAGGCGCCCAACCTGCTCCTGCAGCTCCACGCGTACCTTGTTCACCTCTGCCACCTTCTCCTGCTCCTTGCTGCTCAGGTCCTGGCGCATCGGACAGACAGTGAGATGGCAGCACATGCTCGCCTCCACTCTACACCCAGGCCAGTGCCCCTGCCCCAGTACCTGCTGCAGCTCCTCCACCCGCCGCTGAAGACTCTCCACCTGCAGGCTCAGCTGGCTGGCCCTGGCCTGGGCCTCCCCGACTGCCTGCTTCTGCTGCAAGCAGCGGCCCTGGGCCTCGTCACGTGACTGCATCATCAGCCGTAGCTTCTCCTCCAGGTGCTCCAGCCGCTGTTGCTGTGGAGCACCACGTCAGAGAAGAGATGAGTCTTCCTTGGGCCTCATGAGATTGCCCTCCCCTGCCTGCCCCAAGCCTCGCCAGGGGATGGTGCTCTGGTGGAGGAGTAGCCTTCCACGGCAGACATGAAAGCAGGGCCCTGGGGGCACGTGGGAACACCCATGGGCGAGGGCACTAATGCCTGCCCCAGCATTTACACTCTGCCTCAGGGTCTGCTTCTGTGGGAAGCATTCTCCTTTCCTTCCTGGCCCATGGGGCTGTACAGTAGCGCTGGGCATGAACAACCAGCACTGCACTCCCCCAGATGCTGCCATGCCTCACGGGACAAGCATGTGTGCCAGCATGGGCAAGCATGTTAAGCTTTCCCATCATGGAAGGAAAGGTGCTGGAAGAAGCTTGGGCCACGAGCAAGTCTCCCCACAGCCTGTACTGGGAACTGATCTTGCTGCCATCTCATGAAGGCCCAAGCCTGACAGCCGGACATGCTACATGCAGCAGCACATGCCTAGCTGAAGAGAACCTGCAAGACCTACCAGAGCCACTTCTGCGCAGAACAGGCCAGAAGCTGCTGGGCCAGTGGGGACAGGGTCAGGAGACAGCTTTGTGCAAATGCCCCAGGGCTTCCCCCTCCCCCTTTTCCCACTGCAAGCTCAACAGCCTGAGCTGAGCAGGGTCCCCACCAGCTCCCTGAGGGCAAGAGGTCACGGCCTCACCTCTTCCAGCCTGGCCTGGCTCCGGGCTCTGATCAACTCCTCCTCTGCCTGGCCTCGTTCCACAAGCGCTGCGGCTTTGACCCGACTCAGCTCCTGTCTCAAGTGCAGAAGATGCATCATTCCAGCCAGCAGGAGCCACAGCTCTGCCACACCGGGCAGCAGTGGCCTGAGCACTCTCAGCTACAGCTGCACAGGGGCTGAGTGATACTGGGGCAGGGAACAAAAGGCTTCGCCTCCCTGGGTCACTGGCATCTATTTCACAGAGCAGTTCCAAGGTGCGTGCGTGCGTGTGTGGGGGGGGGGGGGGGGGGGGGGGGGGGGGG